CACACACACACACACACACACACACACACACACACACACACACACACACACACACACACACACACACACACACACACACACACACAGTTGAGGGGGGGGACAGGTGCCACGAGGAGGAGGGTGTAGTTCACTTTCTTCCCCACAACAAAATCTTTTTTTTCTTTTTTTTTTTTTGTTTTGTTTGTTCGCTTCTAGTTTCATCTCGCTTTGGCAACACGCAGGAATACTAAGCACCTGGCTGACATCCCCCAAAATTCTGAATGCATCTGGACAAACACGACATCCAGGTGCTAAGCACCTGGCTGACGTTCAGCTGCCATTTGTGGATGCTTCGTACAGACAAAACCGTAAAAAGCACAAACGATGGCACAACCATTTGTATCTTTTGATTTTTTGTTGAGTGCAACAGTTACTGCCTCCTCCAGTGAGGACCAACCATAACAGCAAACGGAATACTTGTCGTCGGCTCACAAACATCGCAGAGAATCTGTTTCGCACTTCGCGTGGCACACGATGGCTACCTTACCCTTCCCACTAGAAAAAACTGTGAGGTCGAAACCCACGCCCACTAGAAACCCACTTCTGATGAGCGTACAAACTACGGGCTGGGCGCGCATGGCCTTTTTTGAAGTTTTCTTTTTCTTTTTTCTTTTTTCACCATGCCCTCACGGCGAGTCAATTGCACCTTCCATACGCATGCCCAACCCATGTAGCAACACCCACCCACCCTGGATTTGTACTCCGCTGCCCACATAGTACCATCCAATGCACAGAGTACTGCCCAGTGCAGCGCACATAGTACACGATGCCGATCCTCATAGTACCCAACAGGCAGACCCACCTAATCCACGCGGAAGCAGCAACTGTTGCACTCAACAAAAATTCACCCATGCCACGTAGTACTGCCCACCAGCTCACATAGTACCATCGAATGCACATAGTACGGCCCAGCTCACACAGTACCATCGAATGCACATAGTATCACCCATGCCACATAGTACCATCAGATGCAGATGCACATAGTACTGCCCAGCTCACATAGTACCATCGAATGAACATAGTACGGCCCAGCTCACATTGTACCATTGAATGCACATAGTACTGCCCACCTCACAGAGTACCGTCCAAACGACAGAGTACCCCTCAGGCCGACCACCTATCTTCGTCCCCCCAAAACAACGTACGCCGTACGGTCATTATAGCTGCATGTATTTGGGGTATCTTTCAGTCCAAGTACAGCGATAATGACCGTACGTGTTGTATTCGGGAAAAGGAGGTAGTCGACACGGTGGCAGGGAATCGATAGAGTATCACCCATGCCACATAGTCCCATCCAATCCACATAGCACCACTTAGCAAAGAGGTAGGGGGGTTGGGGGGGGGGTATGGGCTCGTTGTGAGATTTGTACTGCCCTCCCCCCCCCCCCCCCCCCCCCCCCCCCCCCCCCCCCCCCACCCAACCTCAGTCCTCCTTCTTGAACACCAGACCTCTTGATTTCCTTTCTAATTGCCCTTTCCCCCCCAAACCTAGGGGGGGGTGGGGGAAAAGGATGGGGTGGTTTTCAAACTTGTCGCTCTTTCCTTTTTCGTTTTTGTTTCGATGTCAAAATTTCGAAATCAAAACATTTTGAGATTTTAAAGAAGCCAATGTGCGACCGCTAGATTGCACGGATCACAATAGCACTCCCACCTGTTCCACATAAAAAAGACATTAAAAAAAACATTAAAAAGACATTAAAAAAACTTAAAATTCTTAAATTCACCCCTTTAGACCACCCAGTGCATCCGAAGCTAAATTGACGAAGTAAAAGTCGCTTTTTTTTTTTTTTTTTTTTTTTTTTTTTTTTTTAATTTAAGAAAGTTGCATTTTTCCGAGCCTAGAATCTATACAGTGCTGGCATTAAAAAAAAAAAAAAAAGGAAAGAAAAGAAAAAGTTCAGTTGCGCCTTCCCACCTTCCTACAAAGCCTTTAGCGGGTCTGGGCACTGCAGATTCAGGCCCGATAGTCAGTCGTGTATGAGTAAAAATTCTACAGTGCCGCCGACGGAGGGACTGGTGGTTTACATAAACCCTTCCCTGTGCCATTCCCCCATTGCAACCGATAAAACTACCGTACTTGGGCCTTTGAAAAAAATCTGCAGTTGCCCCTTCCCACCCCACCGAGCCTCTACTGGGCCTGGGGCACTGTAGATTCTGGCCCAGTGCTTGTGTGTTTGAGCAAGATATCTACAGTGCCGCTTGCGGATGGACTCGCGGTTTAAATAAAGCCCGCCCCGCGCCATCCCCCCAACCGATAAAACTGAAACCACGAAATAGGCTGCTTGGCGGGTGGGTGGACAGAGGCTACGACAACAAAAAGAATAAAATAAATAAGTTAATAAATAAGTCCCAGACTTATAGCATGTGTGGGTCGACCCGAGCAGGAGGCCTCCTGAGCGAGTCGCCCGGCTACCCGACCGGGCATCTTGCTATGCCGCAAGCGAAGCTGCACTTTGTCTGTTGTGATGTTAACGAATCAATTTAATTAATGAAAGTGGACTCAGGGCGTAGTTGCACCGTCCCCCATTCGTCAACATTTCGAATGCACATGGACATTTGTCGGTCCAGATGCATTCAGAATCTTTGGCGGATGGCGCGTAGGTAGTGCAACTAGGCCCTCAGCAGTCAGACTAGAAAATTTGGTGTCCCAAATATCAACCAACCCTTATACAAGTCATGGCCGTAGAATTCTGAGAGCCACAAGCTTGGCCAGTACAATATCAAGTGCACTAGAAAGTCAAGCAAACACATTAGAAGATTTGACTTGCCGAATATCAACCGTGCACAAGTCGCAACGCTGGAATCCCAACAGCTCGATCATCTACAAGTCTGCCCCTAGAATTGCAACACCTATGAAGGTTGGCCACAATAGCATCAACCACACTAGAAAAGTCAATGGCTTCGATAGCATCGGCCACACTACAAGAGTCAACGGCATCAATTATAGCATCAACCACACTAGAAAAGTCAACGGTCATGATAGCATCAACCACACTAGAAAAGTCAACGGCTACGATAGCATCAACCACACGAGAAGAGTCAACGGTGACAATTATAGCATCAACCACACTAGAAAAGTTAACCATCAACCGTCCAGAAGGTTGACCACTAGAATGCCAGAGAACTTGCCTTTGACGGCTACTTGCATGCCCATTCCGATGGGAGAGGGGCCTTTGAACCTTGTGTCACAAGACCTGTTTTGTGTGTTCGCAGCCATCACTTCAACCTCGCCCCCATAATTGGCAATGGCGGGGCGAAGGATATCCAGGTGCGAATTCACCGACGCCACTGTCGCCCCTGTGTCCTGTTTGTCCACTTGGAGGACCTGCTTTAATCTTTCGCCGAATTTGCTCTCAAGCGAGCGTCCGATCCCCATTTTCATCGTTGCAGTGAAGCAAGGGTGCGTACCACAAGCACCCTGTAGTTGTCGAGCCACAATGCCATCCTCCGCGGTCACAACCTCCACGCTCCCACCGTCCGTCCCTGATCAGATAGGGCCGCACTTCATCGAGAACCATATCGACGTTCTTGACCGTGAGTTCCTGAGGGACTTGCGGAGCGGCTACCGATCCGGTCGATCCTATGCGAGGGACACCGGGCCTCGCAAATGGACTGATGATCTGGCTTGTGTCTGCAGCTTTCTCGCTTGCCGATGTGGCATATGTTGCAGCTTTCGCAGGTGTGGGAGGAGCAGCTGAGTTTCACGTCTCGACGTCACGAAGAAGATTGGGCCGCCATTGCCTTGAGTCCTCATCCTCACCCTCGACGCCATCGTACAGATTCTCTCCCATCGCTTTCCGTAACTTCAGCTTCGTCTCCTTGTATGCAGCTCTCTCTTCGTCTGTCATGGCGATCACTGCGGACCCATTGCTGCTGCCATCTCTCCCTTCCCAAAGACCCTTCTCATCGGCATTACCTGGAGGCAGCAGGTCCCCTCCTGTGAGATCGCCAAGCCATCGTCTATCCCTCTTCTGCGCGAGCTTCGCCCTCGTGAGCACCGCCTTGTCCGTAAACACTTTGAGTCTGACGTTGGCTGTCTTCTCGATGCCCATCCACACGTGAAACTGTCGCGGCGACACCAGAATGTTGCGAGAGTACCCGACGTACTGCAGTCACTCGTTGTCATCGTAAATGGCGAACACCCTGGCGGGTCTCTGACCCTCACGTGGATCGGCCCAATCTTCGAAAGCCAGCATGAGGGAGCCATCATCCTCCCCCGGCTGGCCACTGTAAGTCTTTGCTGCCCCACCATGCACACCCTGCAACCGCCGCTACCGTACAGAAAGCCATGGAGTCCAACATGTCCCTCCGGGACGGCGTCATCCGTCACCACGCCCCCCAAGAGACGACAACCTTTCGATTATATCCGGTGAGTTAAGAGTTTGCAGCCCGCCGCTTGGTTGTCCTTCAGACTTTGCGCAGTGTTTCACTGGTTATCAGATCGCCCCTTCCGCGAACGGCAGACCGATCCCACCTGCACCTACTGAGTCGATGGTGGCGTCATCCGTCACCATGCCCCCCAAGAGACGACAACCTTTCGATCGTATCCGGTGAGTTAACAGTCTGCTGCCCTCCACTTGGTGATTACCATCTGACTGTGTGCAGTGTATCACTGGCACAGCAGATCGCCCCTTCCGCGAACGGCAGACCGATCCCACCTGCACCCACCGAGTCGATGGCAGCGTTGGACTGCCCGTCATGGAGGCGAACATAGTGCGAGGCGGCAACGTCTGACAGCCCTGACCTGCCGCGAGTGGAGGCCATTCTCCCAACAACTCCAACTGGCGCAGAGGCAGCGACAATAGCTCCTGCAGCTTGGCTTTGTGTCCAGAGAAGCGCGCAGAACCAGTGCACGCTTCCATGGATGTGGAGGGAGCCCGCCGCCGACAAGTTATCCCCAGGGAAAACCACGTGCCGTATCTGCGCAGAATGTCAGACAAAATGCAGACAAAATGCAGACAAAGGCAGTTGTGGGTTGGAATTGTTACAGTTGCGCATTGCTCAGTTTTCTCAAATAGCATTCCTTCAATTTCCTTGTCCATTTGCACACCAGTTGAGATTTAGCTTTGCTTGTAGTGAACAATTTGCACCATTTTTAAAAAAATTTTACGGCCATCTTTTGCACCAGTTTGAGTCCTGATGCCAGTTGTCAGTGATGTCTTCAGGTGCAAATGGCATTGGACTCATCTGGAAACATAGCAAGCATAGGGGGGGGGGAGGAGAGAGAGAGAG